CGCCGGAGGGGGAGGAGGAGGAGGAGGAGGAGGAGGAAGGGGGGGGTTGGGAGGCTCTTCCCGGCGAGCCCTTACCTGCTCCGTGCTCCGGAGGGGCTGGGCCGGCCGCGGGTGCCGGGACCGGGACCGGACCGGGGCCGGACCGGGACCGGGGCCGGGCCGGGGAGGGCGGCAGGAATGCGGGGAGCGCGGCGGGCTCCCGGGTCCGCGCACGGAGCCAGGCGCAGGGACGGGAAAGTTTATGCAAGGGAGGAGCAGAAAGTTGGGAGTCAATCAGGAGGCGGCGGGGCCGGGCCGACCCTCCTCCCTCCCTCCCGCTGCCCTCCTCCTCCTCCTCGTCCTCCCGGCCCTCCCTCCCGCCTCCCCTCGACCCTCCCTCCCCGTCCGCCCCCCCGGGGCGGCGGCGGCAGCGCTCCCCGACGGGCAGCGGGCACCGGGACGTGGGGCTTCCCCTCTGCCGGGAGGGTTTTTTTGTGGAAAGAGCAGCCCCGTAGCCCGGCTCGGCCCCGACCGGACTCTGGGAGCGCCCTCTAGGAGCCTTCCTCACCCTCCTCCTCCTCCTCCTTCTCCGGCCTACAGCCCCGGGATGCAGCCCCGGGCCGGGGCGTCAGGGTGCTGCTGTCCTGTGCAGTCACCCCAGCCAGGGTACCCCGTGCACACCTTCATCCCCTTCTGCACGTCTTCACCCCCCCTGCGCTCACCTTCATTCCTCTGTGCTCACCTTTATCCCTGTGCTCACCTTCATCCCCTTCCACACACCTTCATTGTCCTCTACACACTCTCATCCCCCTCCAGTCACCTTCATCCCCATCCTCATCCCCATCCTCTCCCAACACCTTTGTGCCCCTCCTCATCCCCATCCTCACACCCTCATGTCCCTCCAAACACCTTCATCCCCTTCCTCATCCCCATCCTTACACCCTCATCCTCTCCAGACACCTTTATCCTCCTCCTCCTCATCCCCCCTGGACACCCTCAGCCCCCCACACCCTGCCCGCATGGAGATTTCCCGTCTCCCCTGGACCCCCAGGACGGGGATCTCAGCCCACACCGTTCCCGTTTCCCAGGGGAACCCAGCCAGGACTCAGGCCGTGGTCACTTCCTCGGAGCGAGCCCAAGGGTGGTAACGCGTTAAGCCGCAGCCGCTGATCGCATGCGAGTCCCTGGCCACGACCCAGCCCGACTGTTGGGAACTGGGCCCCGAGACGGGCAATGTGTGGCCAAAAACCCCAGATCCACCGGCCATGGGGTCCGGCACGCACTGAGGAACCCAAAACCCACAGAGGTAAATCAGGGAGAGGGATCCTCCCGGCACCCGGCTTGGAGAAGGGATGCTCTTTACATCCCATCCCTTCTAGAGACATATTTTTCTAATTTTCGTGCCGAGCTTGGTTGCGTTCAAGCATTTCGGGACACGACAGCCAACGCCGCAGCCCGTAAAGTGACAGTCTCCAAAGCATCCAGCACATTCAGCAATCGTGTGTGATTAATAAAGCCCTATCACATTCTTCCACCCTTGGGCTGGTGCTAAACTTGTAAGAAATCTGGACCAAAAACTGCAACAAAATGGCTGCTATTCTCCAAGGGCCGTTCGAACCACTCGTTACTCATCCCTTACTTGGGCAAAAATGACATTGACTGCTCCTGGAGATGACAGGCTTAATTGAGTTCAATAGGAGTTTAGGCTGAGTAAGGCATGAGCAAACAAGCGTGCATTAGCCCATGAATAAAAGCCTGATCTGCAAATGTTTAGGAACACATGTAACGCCAGGCAGGGGAGTACCGAGGGGGTCACCGCCGCGCCGAGCCTGCCGGGACCGGGCTGGGGCTCGGTTACAGCCTCCGACCCGACCGCCGGAGACACCGGGATGGGCTTGTTCTGGAGCCTGGTGATCCCAGCCCGGCTCGGTGGTTTGTTTCTCTCCCGCCTCTTAATTTTTTTATTTTTTTTTTTTTCCTCCTTCAGAAGTCCGTAATCCTCGTTTCTGCTGTTCTTCGTCCACTGGTGGGAACAGCAACTTCCTTTCCCAAATTATAATATAAAAGAGCTGCAAGCAGCAACGCCATAAATAATATTTTCTTATGGCCAGAACATCCAAGTCTAGGCAAGACACCAAGAACAGCTACAACATTGTAAAACTCCAACACTTCTCCAGAATGGATTCACTAATTAAAAAATGATTCCTTTTTAAAAACAGTTGAAAAATATTGGCTTTCCCATTACTGCCTGTCGCTTGCTGTGCCAGGGAAGAGCCCATCCTGCAATCCCACAGCCCAGTTTACCAGCCACCAGTCTGCCTGTCCCTCTAAAAGATGTCACCGAAATAAATACCTGGGGAGGGGAAGGGGAGAGAAAAACACCCCGTCATCATCGCTCCTTTAATTAATTAATGTATCACCACTTCAAAGCGATGGGCTGGGGCGATGCTGGCCACCAGGAACCAAACATCTCCAGCCCTGCCATCAATGAGAGGGGTTTCCCTGCGCTGCCCTCCCCTCCCGCACCCCCCGGGATGTGGCCAGCGCTCTCCCTCCACAGGTTGCCCGGCCAGTGGGGAGAATGACCTTTTGGACCCCCATGGAAATACCCTACAGACCCACCTAAGAGTGCAGGGGCTGGGCTGGGTGCAGGGTCTGGGGCAGAGGCAGAAGGGACCAGTGGGAGAAGACCCCCCACTCCCATCCTCCTGCTCAGCCCTGGACCAGCATCTTCCCACCCATCGGCACGGGATGGGGATGCTGGCAACCGCAGGGACATTGGTCCCAGCCAGGATGTGGTGCTCAGCATAGAGATGGGACCTTATTTTTTTCCCTCCCTTTTCCTTTATAATCATCTTTGCAAAAATAAGACGCATTTCCCAGGAGGTTCCCGTGCCCAGCTGCCGACAGTCGCCTCCGGCCGTAACTTCATGGAGTTAAATCCATCCTCACCCTCAGCCTGACACCAGCCCCCTAAAACTGAACCTTCGGAAGCCTCAAAATCTCACTCCACAGGGAGCGAGATCCCATCCCCAGGGATCAAGAAAACCCTTTCTCCAAGGAAGACACGCACTTTGGGCTCAAAGGCTGTTGATAAGGCAATAAGGCTCCTTCTCCTCTTTTTTTTTTTTTCTTTTCTTTCTTTTTTTTTTTTTTTTTTTTTTTTTTAAAAAAAAAAAAAAAAAAAAAAAAAAAAAAAAAAAAAAAAAAAAAAAAAAGTTCTAGGAAAAATATTAAACCC